CATATATATATTTTTTATTATAGAATAGTCCCTAGAAGGCAAAAGTGTAGGGCAATGAAAGTCATAATGTGGTCCTGTCAGTTGAGTAGCCTTCCTAGCAGTCCATTTGTGAAATTATGGCATCTTGGAATAGGGTGATGATGGTAGTGGATGGCCAGTGAAATGGACAGGCTTGGGATATGTTTTAGAGGCAGAGTCAGCTGGATTGGCTGAAGGATTGGATGTGAGAGGTGAATGAAAGAGAGGGACCAAGGATGATTTCCGGATTTTTGGTTTGAACAACTGGCTGAATGATGGTGCCGTCCACGGAGAATAGTGGGAAAGGAACAGGGCTAGGGGTAAAATCAAGGCACTATTTGACATGGAAATCTTGAGATGACTAGGAGTCATGAAATAGAGCTATTAAGTAGCCAGTTGGATTTGTGAACCTGGATTTTGGTGGGGAGGTCTTGGCTAGACAGAAATTTGAATGTCAACGAGCTGGATAAATTCACCTGGGGAGTGTAAAAAGAGAAGATAAGAGGGTGAGGACTGAGCCCTGGAGGGGTACAACATTTAAAATTTGAGCCAAAGAGGAGAAATCAGCAGATGATTTTGACAAGGAGGCTCAGTGAAGGAACAGGAAAATCAGGACAGGTAGATGTTAAAGGAAGTTCAGGGGGAAACGTGTTTCAAGAGAAAGGAGTCTTGTCCACTGTTTACAGTTCTCCTGAGAGGTCATTTTAGATAATGGGGAATTGACAATTGGTTTTGGAAACATGGAGATCATTAGTAATCTTGATAGGTGATCCTGATGAGAGACGTCAAGGCTGGATCAGAGTAGGCAGAGAAGGGAATGTGATGTGAGGAAGGGAGAACAATCACTGTAGAGAGATCTTGAAATACCTGAGAATTTTTGCAGTGGAGAGAAACAGCAGTTCTGGAGGAGATTTTGGAGTCAAGGGAGGTTTTGTTTTAGGTGGGAGGAATTTCAGTATGTTTATATGCTGATAGGAGTAATCTAATAGGGGAAAAAGTAATGATGCTGGAAGGCGAGGTGATTGTAGGAGTAAAGTTCTTAGGAATGTGGGAGGAAAGGAATCCAGGTCACTGGTAGAGGGACTGGCCTTCATAGGCACAGGGGCCCTTCTTCATTCATAGTAACCCAAATGTTACTATGTCTGTAGGAATAGTTTTGATGGTGAGTAGATCAGGGAGTTCATGTCTGTTTTCTTTTCATTTTTTCAATGAGGAATGAAGCAAAATGGAGAGCAGAAAGTGGGGGTTAGGGAGGAGGTATAGGAGGCTTTCAGTAGAGGGGAAAAGGTGTGAAATAATTCTTTCATCACATCTACTTAAATGTCAATTTATTGGAGAAAGCCCTCCAGGTATTAAGTACATCTCCTTCCAACAGCTATTCTCTCACTGAACCCCCTTGCTCTTTTCTGGTACTCATCACCAGTTGTAATTGTATCTTTATTGGTTCACTTGTCTGTTCCTCCATTAGAGAAGTACAGGAGGGCGGTTACTTTGTTTTTAATTTCCCGATGTATACATAAAGAAACAGGACTGTTACATAATCACTAAGTAATTACTTGTTGAAACAAAGAATTAATGAATGAAGGTCTTCAGAATTTTGTCTTAGGTCACCCCTGTTAAGTATTTGGACAAGTCACTTTTCCTCTCTGAGCCCTCATTTCTGACTATATACATACCACGTGAATTGTAATCTTTTCTCTGCCCACCTCAAAGCGCTGTCATAAGGAGGATCTGAGCTAATAAATCTGGAAATGCATCATCAAATGATCCTCAAATGTAACGGATTGTTATTTTTAGCCCACGCGTAGCCTGGCAGGTAGCAGGTGCCAAAAAGGACTCCCTGATTGGGGGAGGGGGCCATTATAGGTTCTGTGACTGTAGGCATCGAGGCTTTGCAGAAGGGTTCCGCAGGCCGCGGAGGGGCGGGGCTCAGGCCCGCAGCCCCCTCGCTCCGGCCTTTCCCTGGAGGCGCTAGCCCGGAGAGGGTGGGGGGCGGGGAGGTCAAGGGGGGAGTAACTGTCAAACCTCCCCATTTGGCGCCATTATTTAAATGCTACGTGCCGGTCTCGCTGCTGTACGTGCCCGGGGCGGGGCTCCGAGCGCCGGGAGAGGGGCGGAGGCCGGAGGCAGGACGGGGAGGTGGAGGGGCGAGAGGGGACGGGCCAGGGCGGGGCCAGGCTGGCTAGAGGGGCGGGTCTAGCGGCGGCCCCCGGCGAGGTTCAGTGCGCTTGCGCTGACAGACGCAAGATGGCGGACAGTGCGGAACTAAAGGTAAAGCGCAGCTCGAATTCACTTCTAATATTCGGCCGCGGAGACGGCGCCGCTGGTGCCGAGGGGGATGGGTCCGGCCCTGGGGGGCCGCTCGGGCCTGACTCCACCCGGGCCTGGAGTTGTAGGGAGGAGCGGCGCGCCCGGCCCCAGCTGAGGGGGCCCGGCAGCGGCGGGCCGCGGGCCCCGGGTGCCTCGGGGGCGCTGACGGGTCGTCCCCGGCGTGTTATTGTTGTGGGCGCCTCTGGCGGGGGTGGCGAGGGAAGAGATCGGGAGTCGGGAGGTAGGGGCCTCGGCTGCCCCCTGGGCTCGGCTTCTTCACCTTCCACCAGCCTCCCCGCCCCCCCATGGGGAACGGGGGCTGGGGCAGAGTGTTCGTGTAGGGGGGATTGGGAAAGCTACCCGCCGCCGCTTCCTCTTCCTCCTTTGCAGTCCCGGGCTGCTGTCAGGAGCTCTCCTCAGACCCCCGGGAACTTGGCTTCGGCCGCCCCGCCCCTCCGTGGCTCCCTGCCGCCCCCGCCCCGGACTCGGCTCTACGCGGCTGCCCGCCTGTCAGGAGGCGCCCGGGGTGCCCCGCTTGTGGCTAGCGCGATCCTGGGGCTATGGGGCGGGGATGTGGGGACAAGCTCCGGTAAAGTTTAGTGAGCCCCGGGCCGGCGTTGGGGTTCGGCTGAGGGGTAGCGGGGTAGTCTGCCTCGGCGGGACGTTACTTTCTCTCTGATTCTGGGCAACCGGGGGGGGAAAGAACCCCCCTCGAAGGGTGTGTATTTGGAAGCAGTGGTGGGTGGTGGGAAGCAGCTACCTCTCCCTTCTTTTCCTTCTCTTCCTTTGCCTGGTGTGGAGGGTGAGAGGAGCCTTTGGGGGTCTCTGCACACACCATGATGGCGATGCTATAGCTGATGGAGGTGAATGGTTCGTGTTTATATCCCCCCGTTGCCTTTTGTTTGTAGGGACATCTTGCTGGCCATGTTGATTTGAACGAAATTCTCCCCTCATCCTACTTCAACCCCCAATAAATAGAACGTTCCTCCGTTCCTCTCAACTGTACCAATTACTCACGCCTCGCGAAATTGGATGAAAGGGTGCCCCCTTTCCCCCGCTTTTTCTCCCACCCCAATCTTCTTTACCTGATGATGGCTTCTTTACCGAAGCAGATATACCACTACACAAGCTGTTGGGGGAGGGGGGTGGAACCCTTATGATTGGATTGTGACAAATGGGGCTCCGCTTGAATAATTTTGGGTTAGTAGCAGGCAGTTTTAACTAACGCGTATTATTTCGAGGCTCTGAACGCGATATTCCCCTCTCTGTGGCTTCCTGTGTGTGAACCAAGCAGCTGGTTATATCTTGACCCAGAGAACTGACATCTCTGTCAGAGTGGCGATTGGGATATACAGTTGTAAATCTTTGGGGAGGGTCCTCTGTCTCTATTTAATAAAAATTATTTTTAAAAAATTTCTCCGTTATACTGAAACGACAGCTTCTAGAACAGGCAAACACCAGGTTTGTTTCTGGAGTTTTTCTGTGGAAAGCTTCGCTGAAAGATCAGTTTCCTCAATAATTTTGCAATGTTAACATTCCAAAATTTGTATACTAAGGCGCTGGCTTTGAATGTCATTCTTTTAAAATTTACTTCTAATTACAAATTAATTGAAGAGAGAGCAGATTTGGAATGGTTGGTCTCGTTTTTTTCCAGTTTCAAACTATTGACTGAAATTAAAAAGCCTCAGCAATTGGAATATTTTTGAGGTCATTAACTCTTGAAATACAAAGTACACAACTTTAAGATACATGTTTTCTATAGTTTCACTCTTAAGATGTAGTCACAGTGTTGCTGTGATCTTTGCCTTCTAATATTTATTTTGTTTGGAATCCTTTTGAATGATAGCTAATCAGTTCTGTTATACATGGGCCACAGAATAAAGCTGAAAAGCTTGTCTGGTTATATTGTCACTCTTGATGCTGTCCAAAGAAACTGGTATGGAAAGCACATGCTGGGAGATTTCCTCCTTTGTTCTTTCTCATTTTAAAGAAAGTGCCTTTGGGGATAGATCAGATCCCTGGTGTGAGTCTTGTTAGGTAAAGTTTCTCTTTACAAAAATGAGCCTGTATCAGATAAATGCTGAACACTTGGGGGAAACATTATTTTTCTAAAAATGGTCTCCCTTTTTGCTCTCTCAAAAATCTACTTGAGTTTTTTTCAGAGGAAAAACTACTCTTGTGTTCCTGTAGTACAATTTTTTTCAAATTATAGTAACTGTTTTGACCTACTGGTTTGGCATTGTGTGTTCCCAATACTTTGAGAGGCTGTGATAAATTGCTTAGCTGGTGGTAGCTGTGTTAAAAATTTTAGTACTTGATTGTGGTTAAATTTGCTGGGCTTTTTTTTTTTTTTTTTTGAAGGGGTAGATGATCTTAGGAACGCCTACCATAGTTATTTGAGAATGTGTGTATATAATTTTCTGTGCAGTAAGCTTTGGAAGATACTCTTTTTGGAAATTACATTTTCTGATGGTTTTTCTTTTTTGTTTTGGAAGTAAGTAGCATTTGTTCTTAATGAGATAGAATAAGTCAGAATAAAATTTAAAAAAAACCCCAGATTTCTCAGCTTTAGGTGAAAATATAGTACTGACAATAGCTTTCCAACTATGAGGCTTTGAGTAAATACAGTGACTTTTTTGTTATCTTAATTCACAACCCACATTTCATCTTGCTGTGGATTGTATTCATAATTATTTTCCTCATGGCCCATTTGAGTGAGTCCTTTTAAATCTATAACAAATCTACAAAGATCGGATGGGAAAAATGGATAGATCTGTATCTCCTGTAGGAATAGTGCAAGCTGCAACACTTGAAGATACTGCCAATAAAAATTAGATTGTGGGTCATACATATCAAAAAGAATTCTCTGGGCACCTGGGTGGCTCAGTTGGTTAAGCGACTGCCTTCGGCTCAGGTCATGATCCTGGAGTCCCTGGATCGAGTCCCGCATTGGGCTCCCTGCTTGGCAGGGAGTCTGCTTCTCCCTCTGACCCTCCCCCCTCTCATATGCTCTCTCTTATTCTCTCTCAAATAAATAAATAAAATCTTAAAAAAAAAAAAGAATTCTCTGTTCGCGTTTGTTTATGAAAGGTTTAATTTTTCATTAGGGGAATACCCATAAGTGACACGTGTAAGAAGGTCGAGAGTGAGCATTTTATTATCTTTAGGAACTTAAAAAGCAGGAGGGTGTGATGGCCAGATGATCTTGGAAGTTAAAAATCTGACAGCTTCATGTAGTTCCTCTTAAAGTACTTTTTTTTTTTTTTAAGATTTATTTATTTTAGAGAGAGACAGTGCATGCCCTTGCTCGAGGGGGAGTTGAGGGAGGGGCAGAGGGAGAGGAGGAAAATCTCAAGCAGACTTCCTGCTGAGCATGGAGCCTGGGGTAGGGTGGGGGTGGAGGGGCTCAAGGGCTTGATCTCACAATGCTAAGATGACCTGAGCAGAAATCAAGAGTCGGATGCTTAACCAGCTGAGCCACCTAGGCACCCCAAAGTACTTTTTTTATTACAATTTTTTGGCATTAACTCTCAAATCAAGTTATATTGCCGTTTTAACTCACAGGAGGAACAGTGGGGAGGAAGAAGTTCATCATTTTAGTGGAATAAAATAATGGAATTCAATGGGAAGAGAAGCCATACTTTTGACACTATGCTTTTAAAGTATAAGCATGTCAGTAAATTCTGTTGTCATATTCTGCCTCTTTATTTTCAAGAAATAGCCACTTAATTTTAATCTTTGTGTTGTGATTTGTCTGCTTTAATTTCAGGTAGAAGGAAATAAACCTTACAGTTGATGTGTGAATTTGATTTGACTCTCCCTAATTTGGTTTGGTGTCAGGTGCCACATTTAGATAGCTTTTGTTTTAAGTCACCATTTTTATGAAGAGTATTTAAAAACAATTTATAAAACACTTTAGTTTTTAAGTATTTCATACAATTGTTTTGAAATACTGCTTTTTCATCTGCAGTTTTCTCCTAGGTCATTGTATTGTCTTTCTCTTCAAAGAGTCTCTTGTAACCACTGTGGATTGCAATAGTGCTTAGTGGTGAGTCCATAGCTGATTGACCTTGGGTTTCTCTTGGTGAACTACATCAACGTGCTGCTCCAGGGTGCTTGCTGAGGCTTTTTGAGTTCAGTGTGATTTGTACCCTTTCCTGGTGGTAACTGGGGATAAGAAAATAAAATGGCTCATGGTTGTAGTGGGAACTGGGAAGAAGTATCTGAGTTTCTGAAAAACTGGGTGTTTATGATAAGATGTAGCCTTTATTAAGACCCCTGGTTCATTACTTTATAGAATTGATTGTAGTGCTTTCTGAAGTATTTTGCTCTGGCATTAAGCAGCTTTTTCTTTTTTTCGTATTTGAATGAATAATATTTTTGTATAGTACTTTGCACTTTATAATGTTGCAGTTTATAATGTATCACATTATCTCATCTGATCTTTCCAACAGTTCTTTGAGGTAGGAAGGCAGGTCATATCTCTTTTATTGATGAAGTGAGCCCAGAAAGAGTAAGTGACTAGCCCAAGGTCATACAAGTAAAAGTGGCGGGAACTTGACCCTAGGTCTTAATGATTTCAAACCCTGTACTGTATAGGCTGCTGTAAAGGTGCCATGTCTGTCCTGGAGCCCTCTAGGGTGCCTCGCTCACAAAGAATTCCAGTTATGTTGTTGCTAATACTTTCCCTCTTGCTCTATGCCAGGGTATTTTTGGATATTCCTTGAGCCTTTTGCAAGGAATATTTTGGAGTTTGTTAGTTGGAATCATAGATGTTAATTCTTGCAAATGTCATTTTGCCAAAATTTCAGAGAATACTGAAAAATAAGCAGAAAAAAAAAAAAAAGACACCTGTAATCCCAGCACTTAGAAATATCATGGTTAACATCTGGGTATCTATCTGTTTAGACTTTCTCTCTGTGAGCGTATGTGTATGTATATTCATCACAAAAAGAGATCATGTTTTTATGTGTAATCTGCTATTTTCATGGCTAACTTTCTAGGTAAGTAAATATAGGTCTGTGTGATCATTTGAAAGGTAACACTATTTAATTCAGCTAGTCCCTTATCATTGGACAATTAGATATTTCTACTTTTTTGCTCTTTTAAACAATGTCTTGACAAACAGCCTGATATAAAGGTTGCACGTGTTTTATTCTAACAGAATACATTGATATGACAGAACTTTTTCTGTGCTTTAGGGAGCAATGCTAAGGGTATTTTGATTAGATGAAGTGTTGTGAGTGAAATAAGTAATTCTTGATTTGTTCATTGTCTATGCCTTTGTTTCTGTTTCTATAAACCTATCAGATAAGATTATTAAATGATGGCAGAGTATATTCTATAAAAATATAAGTAAACATTTGATAAAGTGTGAAATAGAGTATGAAACAGCATTTATAATTTATTTTAAGTATGTTTGATTTTGGAAATTATATCATAGTAATCAAATATTGGAAGTTTATGTGCCTTGGTTAGATGTGCACCTGTTTTTAACTGACATTTTAAGAAAAGTAGTGCTGAGCATTAATATAAAGTGGAAATGAGAATTTGCCTTACTCATATTTTTTTCTCAAAACTAAATGTTGCCAAAGTATTAGTTTGGTAGATAACATTGTTTTGAGGAGGCTGTTATAGAAAAGAGGTTACAGAGGCAATGAAAATAGTTTTCTATTTTAAGAAGAAGTCTTTATGGGTTAAATTAACTAATAAATGCATATGTGAACCTTTATGGGTTAAATCAATAAATGGATATGTCAGTTGAGTTAAGAATATTATTTGTGCAACATCTGGGAAGTACTGCACTGTAGAAGGAATAGTTGATGAGATTAAGGGCATGAAAGTGATCAAACTCTAAATTTGACATGTCAGATTTAGTCCATGTAAACTTGAATTTATATAACAAGTTTTACCATTAGGATTTTTAAAAATAGGTGAAAGGAAATTTTGAGTACATGGTTGTGTTTTATTATCAGTTTCATAATTGCTATGCACTTTTTGCTACTCTTATTACAAAATGTTTGTGATTATACTTCCCTTTCCATGTTAAAAACTATGGAACCCCCACTATTTTTCATTCCTTCTACTTTTGGTTTAAGTGGTATCACATGAAATGATAGCCCCCAAACTCCTCCCTTCAGAATTACCTGGTAAAACTTCCTTCTTTGTAATGAATTTCTAAAACTCAGTAAAATGAAGAAATTACCTTTTTCCCTTTTCTGTTTCACCTTAGATCAAACAAAATAAATATAAATCCTTTGAACATTAACTAGTAACTTTGAAATATCAATAACTCTCTGGAGATTGTTGCAAATGTGCCTATTTTTTTAAAACTTCATCTCCTTCTTACCTTTCCTGCTATTCTTTTTTGCTTTCAATTTTCCCCCCTTTGGCTGCCAGGTTAATTTTCCCAAAACATTTCTTTTCATCCTGTCACTCCAATGGCTTTCCATTGAAAACAAGATAAAGTCTTAGCCCTCAGGTATTCAGGATTTTCTATAGTCTGATCCCAGTCCACTTTTTGTGTATTTTGTCTCCTGTACTCTATGGCAAAAGT